CTGTGATGCTACATCAGCTTACAAGATGGATGGGCTTCTCAGATATTCATCAACCATGAAAAGTTGGCTGCAGCCTGTGGGGAATGGAAGCACCTCACTGTCTTGGGTTCTCTCAGATCCTCATCTCTTACAAGCCCAGATGGGAACCAGAGCATGACTCCCCAAAAGAGTTGTTCCATTGGATTTTTCCATGAGGACTCTAGAATGTTTGCTATGTTTTGAAAATTGGAAATATTTTGTATATTAAGCAAATTACAATCTATCATTATCAAGATAGAGTAGGTTATGCTGAAACAGCCAGCAAACCCCAAATGCTCAAGGCCTTAAACAAGTAAGATTCATTTCTCATCAATATAGGGTTTGCTGTGTATTTTGGCATATAAAATAATATTGTATCTTATAACATCATATATATATAATATAATATAATACAATATCATAGGTTTGTTGATCAGCAATAGTTAGGAGTTCCCCATGGTTTTCATGGAAATTCACTCCAACCAAAGTTTCACCATCTGGGTTATAATATTCTCGTAGTAGGTGCATGGAGCATCAAACACTGGCTCTTAGATCGTTTCCATTTCTCTTTCATTAACCAGATAAAGTTGTGTAGACCACACCATCTTCAGGATTTTAGGAAGATTACTTCCCATATGCCAGGAATTAGACAGAATCGAGATACTAGTAAGTAGTAGTCATATTGATCAAGAAAAAATACCATGCATGAGAGGTAGATTTTTTTTTTTCCTCAAAGAGACTGAATTCTAGTAAAGACACAACACATACGGTATCAGTGCATTTCAAGATGGTCAATGTTGAGTGCTAAAGAAGAGAATAAAAAAGAAATCCTCCAGGTGTTCAGAGAAAAATCAAACAATTGAAGACATGTCTTGAAATAAACTATGAGGAAGAAGGTCATCACATCTTCATGACATCAGGACTGTTTGTATTCTGTGTAAGACATCTCTAACTTAGGGATGCTTGGGTTCTTTTCTTTTATTTGTTTATTTTTGTATTACCAAGAAGACTGTAAGGATCATCTTGGTTATTTTTCTCAGTTATATTTTTCATAAGAAAAGTTCCCATGGATGGAACTGATCATTGGACCAAAGGGCTAAATTTATAAACTTTGATATAAATTGTTTATTTGTGCTCAAGGAAGTCCGTACTTCCCCAACACACGTAAGAAAATATCTTTCTTTACACTGTTACTGGTACTGGGTTTCGTCAGCACCTCTCGTTTTCTCCAGTATGAAGTGAAAATGGTACTGGTTTGCTTTTCACTTTTTTACTAGTGAGTGGGATAAGGTATCATATCATGGGTTTGTCCATATATCTTTTTTTCACTCCTGGGCTGTAAAAATTTTTAAGTTGACTTTTATATGCATTCCAGAGGCTGTTGTGAATGTGTGAAATACTTTTCTGGTTTATATCATATGTTTTAACTTATTATATGCTTTGGAATTTTAACTGTGCAAAAATTAATTTTTATGTAGGTTTTCTTTTTATTCATATTTCATATTTATATAGAAAGTTCCACATTGTATCATTTTGAATTTAATCACTGATAGTTTTATTTTTGGAATTTCATTATCTTAACCTTTAAACTTTTGATTTTTGAGGTAAAGTTAGATAAGAATTCATATATTTTATCTTTTTTCCTAAGTGGTTAGCCAGTTGCCACAACAAAATTTATAGGAATATCACTTTTTCTCCAGTTAGTTGAAAAATCATTTTTCTGTTTTCATTTGGGTTTGGCATTTATGGCTTTTGTTCTGTTCCATTGACCTGTCTACATGCTTTCCACTGCCAAATTGTTTTAATTTTTGTCACTTCATAATATGATTTAATATTGGCATGGCTAGCCCTTCCCGATTATTCTTCATAATCAAAATTTTCCTGGCTCTTCTTGAGTGCTTCTCTTTCCAGATAAACCTCAATATATTTCCTTCAATTTCTTAGAATTCCTATTCATGTTTTCATTAGGATAGAAAGCTTGACATCTCTCCAATTCTGAGTTTTCTTATGTAATAGTATGCTTATCTTTCTTTTTGCCTTATTTTTGAAAACTTGGTGAATAATATTTGAGGGTTTTTTTTGCATTGATTCTGAACATTACTTAAGTTTACTATACCCAGACATTTTATATGTTTTGTTTCTATTATAAATGGAGCCTTTAATATATTTTTATGGTGGTTGTTTTTAGATATATACATGTGTACATGATTCAGTTTTGTATATTTATATTAAAACACTAATTTCCTATATTAGTGATCTTAGTGTATGAGGTATATTGTCATATTGGATGAATAATCTTAAAGAAAACTCTTCTTCCTTTTATTTTTACCCCTCTTATTTCTGTGTCTTATCTAAAGTCACTGACTGGTTCAGAGACACATTGCCAATAGTGCTAGTACTGAATAACTGTTTAAAGTCTCAAACGGACAAGTCTCTTACCAAATGTGGGGAGCCTTTGGTAGAATGATTCAGCCTCGTGTCTATGTTACACATATCTGCTATTTTGTGTTCTTGACTTTTGTTCCCAGCCAATAGCAGCAGCCCAAATCTTCTTTCAGTCATATCTGCTCTTAACAATGGACAACTTAAATCTATCAGGCCTCCACTGCACTCTTTGCTTCTTTTCCTCCAGCCATGTTGTCTGGTGTGGAAAGATGCAGTGGACGCACCTTCATTGACTCAGAGACTGTAGGAGAGGTGTTTATAGCTACATCCTGATTTCCTCCTTCCTAGGGGCTGGCTTTTAATTGTACTTCCTGTTCTTTAAAGAAAGTGCTCACCAGTTTTACCACTTGTTAGAAATGAGAAAAAAGCTTTACCTCCCAGTCCCGATGTCTTTAGATTTGTCTGATCCTCTTACTACTTGCAAACTGGCCAATTCTTTTCTGACCTTGTGTTTTGTTTTGTTTTTCTCTTTTAAAAAGAAATAGTACCAATAACAATCAATTCATAATACCAACATTCTGTTTCCTCCGTTTTTTACCTCTCCCCGTGAGTTCGTGATGTACATAGGAGCATGGTCAAATGTTTGATGAAACACCTGCAGAGTGCCTGGCACAGTAGATGCTACAGATCAGTGCATAACAGTATAAAGCTTCAAGATTCTGCAAAGAAAAGGAAGGTCTAAAAGCTTTGTGAGGGAGAAAACACCCCTACCCATGACCACCCCAAATTGGCTTTATATAAATGATCAGGAGCTGAAAGACTTCAAAATCTCATTAACGGCCCGCCAGTTGAGAATGCACTGCAGCAAAGCCTTCAGAAGTCTGAAGGAACCCAGGCACCAGGGACTCTTGCTTATAACCTTAGCTGCTCAGGAGGCAGGGATCAGGAAGATCTCAGTCCAAGGCCAACCTTGGGCAAATAGCCTGTGAGACTCTATCTCAAAAATACCCAACACAAAAAAGGGCTGGTGGAGTGGCTCAAGGAGTGGAGTGGCTCAAGGAGTAGAGTGCCTGCTTTGCAAGTGTGAGGCCCTGAGTTCAAACCCTCAGTACCAACAAAAAAAAAAAAAGAAAGAAAAAAATCTAAATTATATTTCCATATGTGACTTATCAATTGTATAAGTGAAGTAAATAAAGACATTTTCAAAGACTTAAGATCTCAAAAGGCAATCTCCCATGAAATGATTTTCATGAAGTCATTGGAGAGTGTGTTTATCTAAGTTAGGGAATAAATGCAGATTAAAAAAACCCCAAAATTCCATACTGCAACAATTAAGACAGCTCTAAGAGAAATTTGTTTAAAGTACAAAACGACATATTTTAGAAGTGCATTTAGAAATGTTTTTCTTTTTGACAATTCAAAGGAGTTTTGAGTTGAATTCAACAATGAGTTTGTAGGAAATAAGCAAAAAAACCAAAAAGGGAAAATTGTGACTGTAGGATAAATAAAAACTTTGGCAAGAGAAGGTATGTAATAGGTTATATATTTTTGTCTTAGCAATGCATGGCAATACAATAAACAGTGACTACTGACTTACCTAAGGTGTACTAGAAGGTTAAGGTGGAGGTGAGGAGTAGGCGGGTGGTCTGAGAAGTGAATCCTCTTTGTTCACAGTGGGAAGGTAGCAGATGACGGTAGAAATAAAATTGTAGCTGTAACATAGCCATGTGGTTTGGTGATTTGAGCTCAGATATGGAACTTTAGAGTTAAAGGGGTTGCCTGTGGGGGGCTCTATCAGCCTTGAATAGCTGTAGCACTCTAAAACCTGTGGGTGGGTCACCTTTGTAAAAATCACATCCGTCCTCAAGAACGACCAGCTTCTCCCTCCTCTTTCTCTAAGAGACCAGCTAAGACTATGATCATGTGTAGTTTCGTAATTTGCCCTACAGTAAAGTGACCCTGGCCCAAACCTGGCCACAACAGTCATTGTTTCTTTCTTAACAGTATCTCTGCAATTAAGATTTTGAAACTAAGCCTAACGTTTTCCACTGAATATGAAACAGTTATGACTTTTCTCTATATTTTCTCATTTGTGGATAACTTCAGGCTTTTCATCTTCAACAGATACTTGTATGAGTAGCTTCTAAGATCAGCAGTTTAAAAAATTCTGGAACCATTGAGTGGGTTAAGGTTTCAGTTCAGGTTTGTCCTTTCTGCTCTGGATGGGGCCTCAGAGGACGACTGTCTCCAGAAAGTGTTGGACTGTAGCCTTTCAGTTAATCCATGTGTCTTGCTCCACTGTGAGCCCAAGCTGTTCTCGGTTAGGTGAGGACTGTCTCTGTAGGGCACAGTCAGATTGTGGGTGAAGTTCCTCTGACTCCAAAATCCTTCTCTTCTCTGATGATAAGTGATGTCCTGATGAATGGGGATTGATCTTTTTCCTGGAGAGAGTGTGTAATGCAGGTGTGAATTTAACCATTTGCAGATTTATTGCCAATGAATTTTGACAAGAGTGACATGGAAAACATGTCTGATAATTGTATATTTAGGTTGAAATGCTTTTTTTTTTCTTCAGTTAATTTTAGTTTTATTTACAGGGTGACCGTGGACTTCCAGGCTTCTCTGGGCTTCATGGGATGCCAGGATTAAAGGTTGAAAGAAAAAATCTGTTCCTTTTAAATTTCATATTAAATGCCGTACTTCAAGTAAAATGAAATTATTTTACATTACAAATGTGTTACAACATGGCAATACACTGTTATATACATGACAATAAGTGTATTAAAGTAGACAATTGGGTTAATATTAATAGCATGCTTTACTCAAAAGTTTTCAAAATTCTCTTTTTATAAGTTTCCAGTTATAAATGTGTAAATTTTACAGTATTCGACAATTGATGAACAAGTTCTCTGGGTTGTGAGCCTTGTAACAATTCTGATTATATTCATTTTTCCTTATAAAGTCTAGAAAGTCAGACTTTGGTAAACAAACTTAATTTTATTTCCATGTTGGCATATTAAACTCATTCATAATCTGTGTTACTTTTTCTTTACAAGGGACATAATCATTCTCTAACATTCAATATTTGTATTTTTGTCTTTTAGGGTGACATGGGCCCCAAAGGAGAGAAAGGATCACCTGGAGTTTATGGGAAAAAGGCAAGTATGGGAGACACAATGCTGACTTTTTAGTGTAATGGGAATGGCAGCCTCAGCCCTACAGTAGAGCAATTATCAGCTGTGCGCATCCTTCCTACGGGATTTATTTAAAACAATGAGGAAAAAAGGGGGGCCATGTCTGGTGACTCCTAAGAATACGTCCTGTTGCACATCTGTGTACTTCATTGGTATGCACAGTGAAAGATTCCTTCAGAAGCAGTAACTGCTCAAAAACATGTCCTCCGAGAGTCCGTGCCCTGGGCTTCCCATTTCATACTCCCACTAAACGAAGGTAGTACTCTGTGAATTTTAAAAAAAACCCACTGCCTTTTTAATTTTGTTAAAATGTGGCTTCCTTGTCTAGGTGCTCATACTAATAATTCTGCATCTTTGGGCGTTTTCAGTGTTACCTGTGTCCCCTGGGCTTTACCAAAAGTTGCAGAGCTCATAGGGAGCGGTGGCTCCAAAATGACGTTAACTTATTAGCTCTCCTACTTAAGTTTGAATTCGAACTTGAGAACATCATTGTAGGTCTGTTTTGTTTTGTTTTTTAAATGCAGGGTGCAAAAGGTGAAAGGGGAAATGCTGGATTTCCTGGACTTCCTGGACGTGCTGTGAGTTTAGTGGAAAACAAAAGCAGTGTTTTACTTTAAATGAATGTATAGTATCTTTCCTGAAAAGGAAAAATTAGTTCAAAAATGTACTAAAACCACATTTATTTTTCAGGGAGAACCAGGAAGAGATGGAAAAGATGGATTAATGGGTAACCCTGGTTTCAAGGTATTTGTCAAAATAAAACAAAATGAGAAAGATTTCTATGCTTTGTGAGTGGGCACAAGACGAGACCATGTTCTTCTAATATTCATAAAATATGCAGTTTTTACACATAGCATTAGGAGAAAATTACAAACTCTTTGTAAGTCTAATTTTTAAATGATACTAAATTTCCTCTGAGTTTATTGTGAACCCATGTGTTAGAAATAAATTCACAGAATGTTAAAAGGCTGAACATCCTTGAAAAGCCTTTGATGTTGGTTTATTTGGTAGGTAAGAGGCAAATGTTCTTAGCTCCATCTCTCAACTGTTGAACTTTTGGGAGTGGGGTGGGGGAATCACTACCTTAACCCTGGAATGTCTGTCAGTTGGCAGTGTGGAGTGCTTATGAGAGAATTAGAGAGAGCCAGCTGTCAGTCACATCGGGCATGCACACATATTCAAGCCAGTGTCTCTGGAATGTGCAGACAGCCCAGGTGACCACAGAATAGCCCTGCTGTAAGCTGACTTCAGTCCCCAAAGGACTGATTTAGGGACTCTACCTAGGCTGAAGAAAGCACTCAGTCGTCGTATTTCTAGATGGTCAGCACTTCGAAGTCTAAATCTGCTCAGAAAATGAGTCCAACTTGTGATCGTCTGCAGGGCATTCTCTTCCTCTGGAAAGTTTGTTCATTTATTTGCTTCAAATATGGAAATTTCTCCAGATGCCCATGGTCTTTCAAAGATTATAGATAATGCCCCTAAAGCAATAGTGATGTTAATTTAGTCACCTGGTTGGACAACTTTGCTAAGTTTCTTTCTAAATTCTCTTCTTCGGAAGCACCTCACAAGTCTATTTCCTATTCAAGGTGTGGGATGGGATTTAGCTGCAACTCTTAGAGGGAGGAGTAGCTCATATGTTTAAATTTATTTGAGGGAGAATTCCCACCTTTAACAATATACTCAGTTTTCCAATCCATGAAAATAGTTTATCTCAGCAAAGTTTTGCAGTTTTCAGTGTACAGGTCTTGTACATCTTTTGTTAAACTTGTACCTAAGTGTTTTATATTTTTTAAATTTTCCTTTTGTTGTTGCTAGTATATGCAAATACTTTCAATTTTGGTTTAGTAATTATATCTCCTACAGTCTTCCTGAGTTCATTACTATTTTTTTTTTGGAGTTTTCTTTGTGATTCCTCTGGGTTGTTGTTGTTTTTTTTTTTTTTTGCATAGATGATATTTTCTGCAAATAAAGCAAACTTTCTTACCTGATAATTTTATTGCACCAGGCCCTCCAGTACCTAGACAGAAGTTCAATGCTTTGTTTCTGACCTTTGCCTGAGAATTTTCAGTCCCTCACCATGTCAGTTGTCAGTTTTATGAAGTAAACTTACAAATATTTTATTAAGGACTTACGTGTCTGTGTTTATAAAGGGTGTTGGTCAGTAAATTTCTTGTGAATTTTGAAATCTGCCTTTGTGATTAAGGTAATCCTGGCTTCTATCTTCTGAAGGGATTCGTGTAGGATTGAGATCATTTCTTCCTCATTTATTTGGAAGAATTTGTAAGTGAAGCCATCCGGGCCTGAGCTTTATACCTGTGCTGTATGTGTAAGGAAGACTTTAGTTATTAATTAAATTTCTTTACTAATTGGAAAGCTATTTCAGTTTTCTCTTTCTTCTTGAGTAAATTTTGGTAATTTGGGCTTTAAAGGAATTTGTTCATTTCACAAAAATTTAAAATATTTTGGTGTTTTTTGTTTACAATGCTGCCTATCCCTGCCCTTGCAGTGTTTATAGGTTGGTCTCCTCTATTTATTCCTGAGTTTTGGAATAATTATTTCTTATTGATATTTATGATTAAAATCAAGGGCCAAAGCATTTTTCTTCGTCTTCTACTCTGTCATCAGGGACATTTTTTTGTTGTTGTTATTCTTACTGTTCTTAGATAACTTTCTCTTATTTTTTTACATGGAAATTGATGTGTGGAAGCATTTTCTCTCTCAGTATCAATGATAGTAAACTTTACTCTCTTGGACTTGTATGAAATTGTGCAAATCCCACTCCTAAAATTTTTAAAAAGTTTCTTCCTGCATCAAAGATTATTCTCCATTTGTCATTTCTTACCTTGAATATTTACATTTTAATTATCACCTTTTTTTGAGATGATGTCTTGCTATCTAGTTCAGGCTGACCTCAAACTCTCATTCCTCCTGCTTCAGCCTCCTGAATGCTGGGATTACAGGTGTACACCACACCTGACTCCAGTATTTTCTTGAATATACAAGCTTCTGCTTTATTATGCTTTTTATTAAAATATCCAACACTGCAATTTAATCATTAGGTGGAATGATTAAAAAAAACTTTTATATAGACTATTTCCTTTCTTTTTTTCCTATATTTTTCTAGATTTTTACAATTGAGAATTGAATTCATTTATTTTAATTGTTTTATTACTTTTTCTACTCAAGTAGTTAGATTGCGAATGTCTTCTGAATATATCTTCAATTGTATCCCCTTGATTCTGATGTGTGATATCTTTATTAATATTATTTTTTTAATTCTTCAATTTTAGTTATTTCTTTTTCCTAAGAATTGTTAGAGTTACTTTTCCCATTGAATGACTTTTCATTTCTTTTCTGTCAACAGTTTCTTGACATATTGCACTATATCAGACAATGATATTTGTTTAATTTCTCCTTTATGGGCTCCACTGAAACTTTTTAACATCTGTAAATGCTGTATGTTTGCAAATCCAGGTCATGGCATTTTGTGTTTTTCTTCTGCTTCACATTTATTTTTGTGTAAGGGAAATTCAATGAAATCTTTTGACCCTCATTTTCTGTTTTTCCTTTTAGTAGTTTGAGTATTGTCTGCCAATTCTTTTTCAGTTTGAAGTGTCTCAGGTGTATTGGATCTGCAGCAATAGGTGGAAGTGTGAAAGTTTGGGTGGCTTTCAGTCTACTTAGATCTGACTGCTTGCTTTTAAAGTACAGTAATGTTAGTAGGTTTTCTTTTAATGGCACTAGGGTTTGAACTCAGGGCTTCATATTTCAAGGCACGTATTCTACTGTTTGAGCCACACCTTCAGTCCTTTTTTGGATTGGTTATCTTTTTGAGGTAAAGGCTTGCTTTTGGCCAAGGCAGGCTTGGACCACAATTCCTTTGTTTTAAATTTGGTGTCTTCTCTGGGATGACAGGCATGCATGATCATGCCCAGCTTTTTTCTTTTGAGATGGAGTCTTACAAACATTTTTGCCTGGGCTGGTCTAGAACCATGACCCTCCCATTCTCAGCCTCCCAGATGGCTAAGATTACAGGTTAGTAGTTCCTTTATTCAATAAAATTATTTATTGGAAGGGCTTGGTATGTCTTCTGATGGGTGGGTAGAGGAGTGAGAGCAATGAAGAACTCATTTTAGGTTCTTTGGCACTTCTAAGCAGTTAAAGCCAGAGAAGGAGCTTCTCTCACTTGGAGAAGAGATAGGAGTGGGATAATTAGTGGGGTTTGCAAAGGATGTTTAGAGGAGGGACATCTGTCACAGTGAAAACAGAGGTGCACATGGAAGTAGAATGTTGTTTTCTTGGCAGGATGTTTGACTTCTATTTTTTTCTTTTTTAAGTGGAAGTTTTTACTCATTGAAAAAAGGAGAAAAATGGGGCTGTCTTTGATTTTAGAACTTTTTATACAGCAGAAACTTTTAATATGTGTGGAACACATGACAAACAGCAACTGAAGGAAATATAAAAGGTATACTGGGGTCCAGTTGCAGTAGTGTGGTTATAGTATTATCTTTCCTGATACTTAGAACCCAAGCAAAAGTTGGAGGCAGCTTTCACATTGGTTTCCCACATTGGGATTTGCACAAATAAGTATGATAGGAGAGCAGTGGGGCCACAGGGTAAGAATTTTAGAGAGTGGTTCAAATAATGACGCATGGCTGGCAATGAAAGTGAATGAAGACGAGAGGACAGATAGAAAAAAGATGTAACTCATGAGTTACCAACTCACATGACTGGCTCATTTCCTCACCTTTCTATTCATTTTCTTTCTGATCTCATAAATCCTTTGTGCATTATATTTTTGCCTGTTTACATATAGGTGAGAAAGCCAAGTAACGAGGAGATTAAATAGCATCCAGGGTTGTGTAGCCATCATTTATTAGCCAATGGGAATGCTTTTTACCAAAGTGTTTAAAAGTGATGTCATACCCAAATATTCTCCTCCAAACATAGAAAATAATGATTGAACAGCTGATCTTTAATATAAAGACTGACCTTGTTTTTAAATACTCATTTTTCCCACATTTTAATGGCAAACCATCACATTTTAAGTACAAAAATAACATATGCTCTTTGAAAATAATAAAGTCTAAAGCAAATGATAAATAAGAGATTGTTAAAACCCCAGCTTTTCCCCTGTTTTTTGTAACATGGCAGGTCACAAATATTTTGAGCTTTGCACACCACATGGCAAAATCCCCAATTTTTTTTTTTCTTGGCTGTACTGGGGATTGAACTCACTCAGGGTCTCAGAGAAGTGTTCTACCTCTCAAGCCATGCCCCCAGTCCATTTTGCTTTTTCTCAGATAGGTACTTGTGTTTTTGCCTGGGCCAGACTCAGACCACAGTCCTCCTGCCTATGCCTCCTGAGTAGCTGGGATTACAGATGTGTCCACCAGGCCTGGCCATACTCCAAATTTTTGATAGTAGTGTATCTCCCCTTCTGTGTCTAGAGTTGTGCAAGGTACAAAAGCTCTTTCATTTTCCTATCATTTCTCAATGATATTAAATATATGAGTTTATGTTCAGTGAGACTGCAGGATCTAGCCAAGTGTGCACCATAAGTTCCGGAGCACAGTGAAAATTCCAGGCCTGGTTTATATGAGCCCCTGGTTTATATTCCACAGGTGTCTTGTCTGAGTAAGCCAAGAGAAGCTTCTCAGTCTAGATTCTTCAGTTCATCCTCAGGTGTGCTGGAGATTTGTTTATAAACTAAGAATAAACCATGGTGTAAGCTCTAAGTCACAACAAAACCTTTCCTTGCCAACAAGGCAATGATCTTCCTCAAATTGTATTTTCAAGGCCAGTAAGCCATACTTTCCTCCTGATTTTGAGGACTGCAGTCTAAATCTCACTCTCTCTCTCTCTCTCTCTCTCTCTCTCGATAAGTACCAAAGACCACAGACCACAGTATGAGAGGGATTGCATATGAAGTACAATTTTCATTTTCATGTGTCTATTGTTTTGTTAAATTTCCTTTTTTTTTTTTTTAAAGTGCTCTGCTGTGGAATAAATCTGCCTTGACATTAGCTGTAGAAGGTGGGCTGATGTGAAATGTGACACTTTCACAATTATTGATTATCAAGGATAGAAAAAAATGATAAATCAGAAGGGGACCCATGTCGCATGTATTTTAGTAGCTCAAATAGAGTCACTGATGCCAGGTTTGCAGAGAATGGAAATGGGAATATTATCAGGTTAAATTCTAGTTCTAGTTCTGAACTTCACAGGTTGGTTGTGTTTTGCATTTTTATTTTAGGGAAAATGGCCAAGCAGAAATTATCTTTTTATCTCCTGATGAAATATTAATATACATTAAAAAATGAAGGGAACATTCCTAGGTAATGATTACTGGCAATTGTCTTATAATAACCCGAATCATCTTCCAACAGCAAATGCTAGAGTCCTGACCAAAAATATTTCCCACATTTCCTTTATTCCTTCAAAGCTGAGCATTTAGGAGCAAATAGGTGGTGGCTCATTCCTTGACGTGCTCAAGTGGTCTTACATTGTGTTAGGTGCTATCTATAGTAGGTGATTAAAAAAACAAACTCATATAAGATTTGTTTCCTGCCTAACAAGAATGTGTAGCCAGATAAACAACACCCATATAAACAAGACACAAAATTCAGTACTAAGTGTAAAGCTTATGTTGTTGCATTGTAGTTCGTAAAAGGAGGGATTGCTAAGAGCAGTGAGGACCAGCAAGTCTCTGTCTTGAAATCTGGGCTAGAGAAGTGGTTTCCCAAAGTGTCCTCCTCAGGCCAGCAGTAGCAGGACATCTGGGAACTTGGTAGAGAAGCCAGTTCCTGGGGTCCATCCCACAGCTTCTGAATCAGAAATCCCAGGGTTGGACCCACAAGTCTTCTGGTTAACAGCTCTCTAGATCTGATGAAACTGAAGTCTGAGAATCACTAATATAGATTATAAGGAATGGATGACATCCTGTTCGTTTAATTTGTATTATTCTGATTAGCTCTCTTAACAAGAAGTAGTAATAGTAAGAATTAATTAAATCTCAAATAATTGTGAACATCATTATTGATGAAACTTGCTGATGGTTAGTTACTTTAGAATCCTTCCTGCTAATTGTAATAAGACAGTAAGAATAGGTCAATGGACAGATTTTATGAAGCAAAGAGGTCATATAACTCGAAGTTAACGCTTTCTACTGTTTGATAACTGCCCTCCCCCCTTTATTTTATACACAGAAAGTCTAACTACAAAGTTGATAGTAAGTCACACGTAATGATAAGAAGAACCTAGGTGTAGGGACATTCAGTGTTGGAAGGATGTGTGGGAGTGCTGTGGTCCTCAGGGTGCTGCTGAGGATTGACTGGAGACTTGTTGGAATGCAGTCTGCTGCCCATCCCAAGCTTCTGACTCAGTGGGCAGCAAGGGGACATGCAACTGTACATTTTGAAAAAGTTCCCATGTGACGTGGAGACTCTGAGCTGGCTCGTTGAGGACCTTATTTGAGAACAGTGACTTAAAGATTACTCCAGATTTTTGATGAGTGTTAAATTCATATAAGAGATCCTAATATTCCCCCTTAGTGTTTAGGACTTAATATCCCTTCTCTCTAAATTTTCAGATGTTTTAGAACTGAAGTTTTAAAACTAAGTGGACTCAACCTACCCTTTTGTTTTGAATGACATTTTCTTAAATTCTTCTTTAGAACCTCTGGATTAAGAACTCCCCTCCCTCCAGGTTGGTCAGTTTACCGGGAAACACTATTCTTTGCTCAGCTATCATTTGTGTTTGTAAATAAAACCAGAACAGATGGAATATTTGGCTCTGATTGATATTTCATTGTGTTAATGAAATACAAGAATTCACAGAAGTGAGAGAATTGTGGTTTATACGAGGTGAGATGGTTGAATTTTTCAAGTGCCCACTGTACTTTCTATACTTCACAGGTTCTTCTGTGCATCATTTTCTACAATTTTGGGAAATTCTTTAGAATATACAAAACTGTGAAAAACAATTTGGAATATGTTTTAGTGCATGTATTCTGAGACTCCTCTTTGAACCCATTTCAGCTCAAAAATTTGAGACATTTGTAAGAAAATGAGTTTGTTCCACTCACTCGTTGGCTCTCTCTAGGATGATGCGTTCTCTCTGGTAGGGCAGGTGGGGCATCATAGCTTGCAGACCTTTGGTTGTCAGAGGATCACTTGCTAGACAGTAGCAAAGCCATGGCTCTTGGGGACAGGTGTAGAGAATTCTAGATGTTTGAGCTGTGGATATTTCAAGGTGCTTCCTTCTCCTTCTCTAATTTTGCTTAGGCAGTTTAATAGCTGTTTTAATCTGTAGGCTTTGTGCATTCAGTGTTATATTCAGCTAATGCTTATTGCTTTAGTAGGTAGGGTGATGGGTACCTTTGTACATAATAGCTAGCAACTCATTCATCTGGGAAAATTTTAACATATCAAAAGGTAGGTGTAAAATAAGATTATCAGATAATTTGAGCATAACAATTTAAAGGTGTAGAACTGAAAACTATTGACAGTTATCTAAAAATATATATTTTAGATGCTATTTTCAGTAGGAAGATAATTAATAACCTCTAAGTAACTCCATTCATAATGAAGGTTTTATTTTAATTTTAAAATGAAACTCTTGAGAGGCATGAACAAATTTGCTCCAATAGGATGATCAATTTTAAGGTAAAAATGAAAATGAAAATCATAAATATGAACAGGGTGGATCTAGAACATGGGTTACTATGCTCTATTCTCATAAGGATGACTACATAGTATGACGGTTATTTTATAACTTAATTATCTGTTGTCAGGTATAAGTTTTTGATGTTAAAATAGTTACTTTATGAATCTATGAAAAAGTTGATGTCAAGAAAAGTTAATATTAACAATATGAAAGTAAGTTTTAACCTTTCTGTTTGTATTTAGCATGCTTTAACATATAATGTTATAAGATATACTGCTATTTTTAGTAAGTAGACCTGAAGACAGAATTTGCTATTTCTTGTTGTCCAATCAACAAGGGAGAAGCAGGATCCCCAGGTGCCCCAGGGCAGGATGGATCTCGGGGAGAGCCTGTGAGTACCTTCTCAGTTCTATTCTAAAGGATGAAGTTCTTCATCTGTCATGAAACCCTTTGACTATTTAAATTCTCCTCCCAGGTACCCTAGTGTTGTTCAGTGACTCCCAGGTTTTGGATGTTGTAGAAGGTTTTTATGGAACACTGTAAGATATTGAAACATTAAATCCTATTTTACTAACCAGGAAGAATGCTGCATGTTCTGTGAATCACAGCCACACCAAGCGTGCCCACACACACGTGTGGTTAGCATAAGCATCAGGTCTACTGTGGCCTCTGTTAGTGTTGCTCTGCTGCTTGTCCCCTGTTGCGTAGTGTGCTCTCTGGAATTATGTCTTCTATAAAAATCAGGAGTAGAGAAATGTGATTAAGAAAAAACTGAGTCTGAATCCTGCATGTCTGTATTCCTACATGATTCTTAACTTCACCTGGCCCTGGTAATGTAGTCTGTTCCACTTCTTATTCCTAGAACTCATGGCCAATATTTAGCTAGCAGCAGGTCTCATTTTGTTCCTCAAAGGTGTCTATCCTCAGGGAGTTTGCAATTTATTTTAGGGGAATGAGGTTGGGAAGTAAAATGATATCCAGATATATTGGCACAGAGTATTCAGTTGAGATTTCAGAAATATTGAACACAAAGGGAGAGAGGCAGAGAGATGTACCACTCTTAGAGTTGCTCAGACTGTCCCGGCACTCTCATTGTATGCACTGTGACTCAGTGGAACTAGTTTTACATGGAGCTAATGTCTGTCATTTGCTCACAATCTAGTTTGGAAGACTGAGAAAAGGATGGAAGAGATTCCTAACATAAGACTGTTGATAGGAAGTCTGCATATGGGCTGGACATGTAGCTGCAGGCTGGGGTTTAAGACCATCTTAGTTAAAGTCCAGCCATGTGAATTTCATCAGTTACTTCACAACTCTGACTGACTTTCTCTTAATCCAAATGGTGTAGTATTTATAGTGCATTCTTCATACAGTGGTTGTGAGGCTTACATAGGAAATCTGAAAAAAATGTAAAAACATTGCACAAATCCAAGGGGCTACCCTAAGTTCTGAAGAATTATTGGAGGACTACATTGCATCTTGGGTGGTAAGAATTTTTTCTCAGAGATTTGGGGCTATATTTGGTCATGAAGAGTAACAGGGAATGAAAGGAAGATAAAGAACTAATATGAGTGAAAACACATGGGTTAAATGGATAAAAATGTGCCCAGCCCCCAAAATTAAAAAATTGTACTGAGGTCTGGGGCTGCAGCTATGGGTCCCTATTGTGTTGAAGATAGTTAGGACAGTAAACTTTGTTCACTTGCCATTGAATTTTTATGGAAAAATATAATGACATGATGAAAAGAAGTGATTTAGAGGCAAGATATGAGCTAATTGTGTATGTACAATAGACAGAAAGGACACTGGGTTAAGGACACCAGTTCCTGGGCCATTTTGACAGACCGGGCATGAGGTATAAGGCCTCAACTAGGGTGTTAATAGGAATGAAGTGAGTTGGTTAGGGCGAGTGTGGACTCAGTCTACCTGAGTCATAATTATTATTATTGAGGAAGAGCCTTAGGCCTTGGTAAATGGATATCAGACTAGGTATAATTATTTGTGTTCTCATTTTGGAAAGAATACAAAGGGAAAGAGAGAGAGAGAGAGAGGGAGAGACACAGATGTGGAGATAGATGAGACAGAAATGAGATAGACAGAGAGAGAGAGAGAGAGAGAGAGAGAAGAAAGTGAAGAAAAAGAAAAGGAAGAGAAAGAGGGAAGTAAGAGTGGGTTATACCCTGTCCTGTGACTGTGTTCTACATGTTGGTCTTAGTTATTTGAAATCTAAAACTCATTTTCCCATAGAAATAAAGCTATAAGTGAAGAGTGACTAATCTGTGTAAACCATAATGTAATATGACCAGAATACATTTGCTTTGAAAAGTAATACTTTTACCATCAGTTAATAAAACTAGAACAGAGGAAAGAACATTACATAGGAGATGAGGGGTACATGGAGGGGTTTCCTTCCCCAGGACCCCACTCCTCACTTTCGGCCGGAAGCAGGGGTTGATTTATGTCTACTCTTGCCCTGTGTGATCCCAGTGTTTCAAGACCAGTCCCTACCTAGCATTTTTTCACTAGAGTCAATTTTCATGGCAGGCAGTGAGCTCTTCAGATTTTACCTTTCCTTCCTTCCTCCTAATATTTATTGCATTCCTACGATGTTTGGGTTTGGTGGTGAGAGAAACACAGGGGGTGCCACATGGAGGTTTACTGTCTAGTGGGAGAGACAGAAGACAAAAGAATAAACAAAGTAAAACTAAATTACCATGTTCAAAGCAATGGATAAACAGAGGCAAGGAAAGATGGGAATGGGTGGTGAGGGTTATTTAGATGCAACCTCTCCTCCTAACTCAGTAGATAGAAAACTGGGAGCTACTGAGAAATCCTCAGCAAATCTCTGTAACTGGCCCAAAAAATGGGGGAGGCAGGGGAAGATCCCATATCCATTTTTTCCCATCCCCTCTCTTTCCTAATGCCTGACAGAGGAAGTCAGGTGTTCTAAGCAAGGAACCGTAGGCTGTTGGGAAATCTGTGAGTAGTTTATGCATCTAGAATTTGCCAGTGTCTGGCTTTTAATGCATCTGGTCTATATTGCCTTCCAGACAATAACTTGTAGCCTTGCTAACTATCCTGTTATTTTGACAATTAATGAAAACTTGGATGTTAGAAATATACTGTGAGGATTGACCTTTGCCATTTATGGAAAAGCTTTGAAGGCAGGAAAAAATGCTAATGTTTATGTATTTTGTGGTGCACAGAAATGAAGATTCTTCCATTCCATGTGAATAAGGGTTTTAAGTACTTGTAATGAATGTTTTGGCCCTGCTAAAAAGGATGTGCTCAGTATATTTGTTCTGTAATGTGGCAGCCAGGAAAATTAATGGAGCTTAAGTTGGAAGGACAGAAACTCTTAGAAAAATGCTCTGAAGCTAATTAAACACAGGGATGGCTTTCTGGTGATGACTCATCCTGTAAGCAGATTGATAGATACAAATGGCTAACTCCTGGAATTCAAATTGAGGGCAAAGACTGTAATCATCAAGAAATGATCCCCTTGCTTTAAAGTACAAGTGTATTTACACGTCATTTCTTTGAATTTTAAAGGCTACTGTTGATCAGTCCTTAAAATAATTCAATCCTAAAGGTAATTTCTTTGTGTAGCATTTGTATCCAATCACTTTAATTCAATTAACTGTAAACTAATTTCTAACATTTGCTAAACTTATTATAACTGGTTAGAATTATGAATCACTGTTTAGGATTATATCCTTTTCTTTTTTTTTTTTTTTTGGCTGTACTGGGGTTTGAACTCAGAGCTTTACATTTATGAGCAGGCACTCTTCCACTTGAACCATGCCTCCAGCCTGGAGGATTACATTCTCTAGCTACTCATTCAGAAAAGCATTTACTGAGTGTCTAGTTTGTGTCAACTATTATACTAGCTCAGGAGAATGAATGTCATTTAATTATGGCCATGCTCTCAAAAAGCCAAATGAGCATTAGATGACAAAGCACTATGAATGCTATGGAACTCAGCACAGGATTTGAGAGGTTATAGATGTGTACAACCCCAGATGAATTTGGAGACATTACAGAAAAGGATACAATCTTTCTTTTAATAACAGCTTTGACAAGATATAATTTGTACATTTATGTAAATTGTATTGGGTGTGTTTTTAAATAAGGTGTTCTTTTGATCAGTTTTTGGAAGGTAAATGGGAGTTGGCTAGTTGTTTTGATGTGACAGGAGCACGTAGCATGTTCTAAAATGTCTAAGTAAAAGAAAGTATGATACTCTGGGCAGAGCTGATGCTAGTTCAGACTCCCTGGGGTTCATGGAGAGAAAGGCATAAAATAAGTGAGGTTGTAAGGGTAGGTAGTGTTTTGATCATAAAGGGCTTTATTAGTCTGTGCTGCTTGGAGTTAAATCTGAGAGTAATGGGAGGCATTTAGGTTTTATGTAGGGATGTGAGCTTGTCAGATTTAAGTCTGGAAATAATCACACATATGGAGAGTAGAGAATGGGTAAGAGGTGGGTCCAACTAGAGGACAGAGCCTGGCAGTAGCCTAGCTGAGCTCCAGTCCCTCTGGTAGAAGTTAAGATTAGAACTTTCAGGGGAAGGGGAAGATGGGACTGATCTCAAATGAACTTAGGCATTGTTAGCAGGGCTTGAGTATCAGTTGGATATGCTTAAGGTAACAGATAACTCTCAAAGTCTTAGTGCATGGAGGGAGGCAGGGAAACATCAAGGAATAGACAGGATAGAACAAGAAGAACCAGCTTTAACTGGGGATCACTTAAGATATTTCCAAAAGGAACATCTAGATAAACAACAAAGGTACAAATTGGACATCTATATCTGAGTAATTAGATCACAGATTTGTAAAAATGAAGACAATAAAATTTCAATTAAATGTCATGGGCTAGTTTCAAGCAATTCTTAGATTAATTTCCATAGATGCTAACTGTCGTAAGTTAAAGATGCCTCTCCCCAAAAGATATCGCGTCTTAGTTACTGAAACCTATAAATTTTATTTTATTTGGATGAAGGGTCTTCAAAGAGAGAATATGTGATGGGCCTGAGTTCAGAATATAGCTGACATTCCATAGAGAAGGAGGAAATTCCGACCATAGCCTGCCATGGCAGCTCCTCCCTAAGAACATCTAGCCTTTCCTCCCTGGGGATCTGCCCCTTGGATTTTATTCCTTCCTAGCCAGTCCTGACAATTGCATAAGCTGTTCTTTGCTGTGTAGTGAAAGCAGAACTTGTAAGTCACCATTTTGAATATTTAGCTGAGGAAATTTCCAATCAAAGCGCTGAAAGTATGGCATGGTTTCTTCTTGCTGCTTGTAGCAAAGTGTGAGGAGAAAAAATACGTTGAAGTAAGAATTATTAAACAAAACAACCAGCAGTTGACGATTTGGGAAATTTTGAGCTCACA